TATTTTTTTTTTACCATTTTACCAATAAAAATGCTGAATCGGGACGATATCAAGAATATTTACATGACTTTGTTGCTGATAAATTTTAAATGATTTACGGTTAACATATAATTGACATTTTTATTTACAATATTTCTTTTTAAAGCCGCTTCATCCAAAACAGGCACATATTATCTTAAACAATAAAAGTATGTCATCACATAGATAATAAATAAAAATTAATTATAAGATTGATTTAATAGTTGATTACAACAATCCTTACATGGAAAACATAGACCAAAAACCTTGTTGACAAACAGCAGTTCCTGACGGGAAGTTAAGATCTGTTTTGAAGTCACCTTTGAAAAAATACTTTTATCGGTTATATCTAATTATTAAGAGAATTCAAAACCGAGTATTTTTTTTTCCATTAGTAGAATCCTAAGTCATGATATATCTTTTAAAAATTAAGAAATTAACTGAATATAATCCATAGTAATTTTTATATTAATATGCATATTTACAGAATAAAGGAAAATCAGATATTTTTTTTTAAAAAGTGAGTTTAGTAATCGGGCTACCCGTGTACACTGTGTTTTGGAAAAATGATCGGGTTTATCCTTCATTAGTTATACATGTAAGCGATAAATTTAATTTTTTGAAGGTGATTTCACGCAATGTAAACAAAGGATTATTTTTTGTGTGACCTTACAAAAATTATTTTTTTAACTTTTGAATTTTGATATCTTTAAAAAGAAAAAGACTTTGGGGATATAATTTGACAAAAGTTGAAATAATTTATGGATAATTATTTTTCAAGAAGAAAAATGAATATATTTTTTAGCGATTAGAATCGGACGTTGTGCACATCGGTTTTTGTTTAAAGATTTTTTTTTCTTTATTCAAAATTTGAAGCCTCATATCTCATTATTTCTCAATTGATTTCGGTCTAATTTTCAGAGATACTAGAAACTATCAGAAGACTTAAAAAGCTGTTAAAAAAAAATTCACTTCCGGTTTTGAGTTATTTCCCTTTAAACGAAAATTTATAGGCTTTCGTTTCCAGTCAAAGGCTCAGAGACGGCTAAAGCTGGATCAGAAATTCTGCTAATTTAAGATAATAAAAGGATTGACGTTGTGCACATCGGTTTTTGTTTTTCGATTTCTTTATTCAAAATGGCGCTATATTGGGTAAAAAATTAGAACGCTTAAAAGAGCCAAAAATTACTCATATTTTGCTTTTTATCTTCTCAACTAAAAATATTTTGTTACAATATATAGAACATAATTTGTGCAGAATTAGAAGATCTTTCAAATGACATCTCGGAAAAAGGGCTGACCCCTAAATTCACGGATCTAGAGAGGCAAATTTTTTTTTTCCAGATTTCTCAAAAAGAATTGATAATATGTTATACATCAAAGAAGTAAAGTTGTTGAAAATTTCTGGTAAAATCTACTGATGTCATCAAAATACGTCCTGTGACGTCACTTCCGGCCAAACCGAAAGTTGTCCGAAACTGCATATTTTTGCCGTTTTTGACATGTTTTGGGGAAATATTTGTCACTGGAAACATAAAACTTAATTTTCGGTCCGTCGACGTAACTTCTGGTAAAACAGGAAGTGACAAAAAATGGCTTACTTTTGCAATTTTCTACATGGATTTGGAAGATTTAAATCATTAGAGACGTAATTTATCTCTTTTTAAACAGGCCTTCCGGTCAAACAGGACGGAAGACCTACTCGTTGCTTTGCAACCAGCATTGCTCTAGTTTACATTTCTTTTTACATTATATCTTGTACTAATGGTAATCTTACAACCAAGCTCTATGATAAACGTGATGTCTTTAACTTTTCTATTAATAACTTCCCTTACCTATGCAGCAATATACCTTCATCACCTGCATACGGAGTTTACATATCTCAGTTGATTCGATATGCAAGGGCATGCTCTACGTATAAATAATTTCTAAAACGAGGTAAATAATTGACAAACAAGTTGATGAAACAAGACAATCAGCAGTCTCGTTTAAAGTCATCACTTCGTAAGTTCTATGGTCAATAAAATGCCCTTGTCAGCAAATACCATTTATCATTGAGTCAAATGCTGACTGACATTTTTCATACTAATTAGGTCTTTCCATTATTTATCCAAAGACCTAAAGATTCCTGTTATTCTTCTTATTTTTCCGCCGTGACAAGATATATCAAAGAGATTTATAGTCCATAAGAATGTACTCCATTAAATATTTTTGCAGTTGACCCTGCGTCTGAACCTTCAGCTTTTCCGAGGTTATGCCCCTTTTGCAAGAAATGCCTGTTATCACTAATCCTTGTAAACCATAAACCGTAGAGGTATTGAAACCTTCACCAATGTCTTCGACTAATTGAGAGGACTCTGGAATCTATTCATTGCAAAGGCATTCGGTGACCCCTTCAATGATTAATTGCCCCTTAAACTTTTTAAATTTTACAATTAATTTAATTTTTTTAAAACGACAAGTTATAGAGATATGGGAACCATTTGCAAAAGATTCATTGACCTTAAAATTCATATAGATCAAAGGTCAAGGTCATAAAAAATGAGAAATTAAGCATTTTTTATATCTCTTTTGTCTTTTAACATATACTAAATGTCTATGTATCATTAATATGTATTTTTAAAACTGTTTCACAGATTTCATTCTTGTCCCCTAACATGAACACATTTAAAAGTTATTGCCCCTTGTGCGAAAAACCTTGTTATCGCTACTCCTCCCGAAACCGTAGACAGTAGAGGCACCAAATCTTTACTATCGAAAGGGTTTTAGGTTTAACTTCACTGTGTAAGTGAGAAATGATCTGATGACCCCTTATATGAGTTATTGCCCTTTAACTTCTTTGTACATACTATTAAACCTTATAACTTAAAAACTATAAGTCATAGAAGCATGAAAACAATTGCAATATGCATGTATATATTGACCTTGAATATTTTTTCAAGGTCAAAGGTAGGTCATTCTCTTATTTTTTATTTTTATTTTTTCTATGCTTTAAAATTTTGGTTTCTTTTTCATGGAATTTAATTTTTTGGAGTCAGATATAAAACAAATTTGAAATTCAAAGAAGGTGGAAAGACCTCTTATTGTTCTGTGAACAATAAGTCTCCTAGTTATATTATTTATACACTGAATTGACGACGGATATTTCCGTTATTTCCCGATCATGACAAGGAGCACACGGGGTGTGTGACCGGTCAGCAGGGAAGCTCACTCCTCCATGGCACCTTATCCCACCTCTGATGTTTTGGAGGTATGTGTTTGCTCTGCTCCTAATTTCTATTGTTTTATGGCCTTTGATATTGAATACTATTCGTTATCTCCATCTGCTTCATGGATTCGAAAATCCCAAATTCATCTTTATTTGCTTATTGATTATCACTATTTTTACTTATTTCTTTTTTTCAAGTAGATTGTGTAAATGTTAACATTTCAACGATAATACCTAACCTGTATCATAGAAACACGAGCAAAGTGTATATGTTACGATCCTCATCTTATGCTTAATGTATACTTAATTCTCCTAGTGCCGTTCAAGACCTGAATAATTTCTAATGTATCATCCGAAATACTAGCAACTTTATAAAGAATGCAGAATTTTAACACACGAAACAGTATGGATTACTTGAAATTTTAGGTTTAGACAGCAAGGACTAAAACCGCCCCCCCCCCCTCCAAGATGCAAATGTTCCGTCATTAAAACAATACGGTAAATGTACATTCAAATGTGAAAACCAAATATGCATGTACATGTATATATTACATTATTGCCTTAGTGCACATTCTCGAGCACATGGATATTATGTTTTCATTAAATTTTAAAGTTCAACAGAATTATTACAAGAACTGCCTATGTGAGAAGGATACATCAAACAGTGCTTACAAAAGCAATTTTTAAAAGCAGCATCTATGGAAACAAGGAACAGCATTCAACTATAAAACATTGAAGCAGTGTACAAGGGGAGCTTTTTTTTTATTCACTCAGGTAGCCAAAACGTTTTTCTCAACACTTTCAAGCTTTAGTTAACTTTGAATGAAGGCATGATCAATTTCGTTCAATTGTTTGTTTGTTTTCAAAGTAGATTGATTACAATATGAAAGATATTGAGGATGTAAAGATGAAAAATATTCCAAGAAGCTAGCTCAGTATAAGTGTACCGTTTGTATCTTCTATGGTCTCCTGAAGAAATACAATAGACGTAGTAGTGCCTTCGTTATTGTTTTCTTCAAGGTAAATAATGACATTGAACTTTCCATCTGAAAACAAAATGGTAAAGATAAACCAAGTGGATAATAAAGCACTGATTTGCACATTTTGAATTTTTGTCAAGCTAAACAATTAGAATATATTTTCATCAGACTCTATGCATCCATCATTGAAAGAATTATTATAAGAAACATTTTCTGCAAATCAATCTCCTCTATACACTAATCACGGATTTGGTTCAGGGATTTCTGTAAAGAATTAAGATATATATCTTATATATATACATGTATATATACATTATTTGAAAATGAAATGAAAGCCGGCATTTATCGATCCATCTACTTTAATTATAGTTTTAATAAATACTTTCCACCATACCTGACCAGCTGTCTCCTTGTCCTGCTGCAAGTTCAGTCCTTAATTCCTCAAAGGATGAACTACTCTCATTAAGCTGTACAGGAACACTGACAGTGTTTGCCTAGGGTACCACAGTCTTATTAAAAAAGTATTAGATAAATATTTTGTTTGATAAAATCATTTATCTAAAAATGAGCTGTTTGTGTTTAAAGTTTTTGATTTACCTGAACATGTTTCATTTCCCTCTATTCTTTGAATTCATTTCTCATTAAAATTTGGTTCTGAATTACATTTGTTTCTTTTATGTCACATACGTAATAATATATAACTGCAATCGCTTCTATCCACATCAATTAGCACAAATGACATCTAAAATGGAACCTAAAATATATTATGAATTATAAATGAAAGTGTCACAAGGGCAGATGAGCAGACCGTCTAAGTTCTCGCGAGATTTCGCGTTATCTAAGGAAATGTTATGATAAAGTTTCATTAGACTTGCCTCACAATTCGTAAACTGATATGACGATACATCCCAATGAAAATTCACATTATCTTCAATGTCTCCTTCGCGCATCTGTCACGGTCTTGTTTCTCTTTTGCATGGGGTTCATCAGCATGTTTTTCCTACAAAAAGGAATGTTTTTCAATCTTTTCGACAAGATAAAATACTTAAACAACAAAGGCCAAACATTGTTAGTTTATGAAATTTTTATTTTTATTTATCTAAATTATGTTTTTGTTACAATTTGATAGATGCATAAAAACTGTCCCCTCACCACTTTCTATTTACAGTTTTGTGTCAGACAGCACTCTGTTCATATTTGCCCTAGAAGTGACGTTGCTTTGTCCACCACTTTTCCTGCTCTTTGTAAGGAAGGAGGATTGTTACCAGATTTACTTTCTACCTTAAAGTTTGATTTCTTCAAATCTCCCTTCCCACTTTAGGTGTCTTGATCTTTTATTCCCATTTCTAAGCTTTTGCCCACATCTTTGTCTGCCGTCTTTTTTTCTGTTCTCGACAACAGCTTCATTTGTAAGACAGGGTTCTTTTTGTGTATTTTGCTGTTTTTCTCGTAAACGATGTTTTGCTTTTGCTGTCTCCCTTTTGTCAGATTAAGCATTTCCAACAATGCTTTTAATATCACTTTCCTGAAATTTGCTCAAATCCGAGTCCCTGAATTCTTTTCTTCCACACTGAATAATCAATTAATTGATTCTGTTGTCTTTTCACTGAGCAAGTCTTTCGGGTTCTCATTTTCTTCATTACATATTTGTTTGAATCACTAGAACTTCATGAATAAGAGGTGTCTGTTTGCTGTATACATCTTCTGGTAAACACGTCATCAGAACCGTGCCAATGTTTTGTACGTGGTCGTATTCAGCATCAGGAGAAGTAGGAGAGGAGCAGGCATTGGACCTGGCCACTCTGTGTGAATAGTCTGAAAAACCATGTGTCGTAGTTATTTTTGTCATCCAATCCGCCAGTAATGGCGAAGTTTGATTTTTTTATTTCACCTCTTTTTCGATCATATGTTTCTTTTTGTCCCTCTTTAAACGCATTAATACTTTCGTATATGCGTGTTATTGCTTCTGATATGGGTTTATAGGGACTGTCATTTATTTGATGTATGCAAAGAGATCTGAGCTAACTACAAGAATAAAAAATCAATTTTAATAGAAGATCCCGAATTTATGAATTATATAGATATTCACATAAGATATTGTAAACTCACGTCCAAACTCAGAATACTTGCTTAATATGGAGAAGCAAAAAAGTCCAACAAGAATGAATATGTTGTTGGAAAAATAGAATCACATTTTCGACAATTTTCTGGAAAAAGTTAGAAGTGAGAAATTAATAATCATACTGAAACTTTATATTTTTATATTACCGAGAATTTTTCTTCAATAAAGTAAGTATTAGCTGAACATAACAATATTGTCAACATTTTTAAACCATAAAAGTGTTTCATTACACTTGGAAGATGAAAATCCATGATATTCATATTTAAGTTTCTAAACGTGTCAATTTAATTTACGTTGTTTGTTATTACTATGAACCCAATTCTCAATAGAAGATAAATTATGATACTCATCATTTACTTCTTTCAGATGATTTTGTAGATTTGAAGTTGGAATGAGGCCATTCATTCATAATGGGAAATCAACACGAAATACGCTGTGTGCATCAATTGAAAATTACGGATCTCCGTCAATGCCCGTGCAATCGTCAACGGATTATAATTTATGCTTTCATCCAGACGATACGGACTTTCACAATCCCAAATGTATCGTTTAGAAGCAGGGTTCTCCACACGAGTTTTACCATGGCGGCCCGCCATCGTTAAATTTATGTGCGCCATGGTTAAACAAGCTGCGCCATGGTTAAAATCGGCAGCCGTCATGATTAAATTTTATTGCATTTCAGTCCAGACACCTATATTTTAATGACTTGAGTAGTTAATTGCTTTTATACTACGACTGCCAAGCACCTCGCATGCCTCGAGAGAAAGCCGGGTCGTGCTAAAACAAACATGTTAATCGGTGACTATGCTGTGAAGCATGACAATAGAGAGTCAATCAGCTGATGTTCAGTATTTTGAGAGTTAATTATCCTGTACATTAAATTTTGTAAACAATTTTTGGGAACTTCAACATGTACACTACATGCGATAAGATAACGGGATTATAAATATGACAATTACGAGTACGAACATGCTAATCGTGACGCATGCGATTTGATCAAGTTTCTGTACCAGAAAAAAAAACACTTTCAAAATATCATATCCCTCTGTATTTAACAAATTTCCTATGCTCTGTTTTTAAAGTTTTAACTATATAATAATTCTATGAAATTGTGCATTTAAGTGTGACTGTCAATCGCCGTCTTAGTTTTAGAGTTACTTCCCGTTTTTATGAAACGTCACGTGGCGCTTTTTTAGCACTGGGACACTGCTATATGTAGAAAAAATGAACATTTAGAAAAGGGGAACCTGGTCCAAATGTTCGTTTGTGTGTTAACTTGAAATCAAATGATACCCATTCCTAAGATTTAGTAACATGTATTGATGTACAACCTCGATTTTACAATTTCCTAACGAAGTAGTCAAATAAATTAATCTAAATACTAATATATCAACAATTGTAAGATTGTTCCAACAAAAACAACATTTTAAAGGTTTTTAAAGGTTGGCAGTCGCTTGTGTATCATCTTGATTATTGAAACAACAGAAATATTATAAATAAGCATTAGTAGCTGACAACTTTCTTGAAGTTCATTTATTCTGTACTTCATATAAAATAAAATTGTTTTTTCCGAGTAGTACATGTAGTACTTAGGTCGAAAAGATAATGTAACGCAATTCGTAGGAAAAACCAAGAACAAACCCTGGCGTTTTAAGAACCATCCTTTGCAAACAAAACCGAAAACAGTTGTTTGGAAGAAATGAAAGCTGTTAGTATGTGATAAACGATGTTAAATTTCAATTGAGATCTGAAAAAAACAATCTCTCAAGACTTTGTTTAAAAGTTTACACGAAAAACATTTTTCATGAGATGAAATATTAACAAAATGAAGATAATGAGATCATGCTTAAAAGTACATTAAACAGAAATTGTATACAGAGCAAACAGGAATACATAAGAAGCGAATTTAGTGAATGTGTACCGTTTTTATCTCCAGTGTTCATATGAAAATTCAACAGATGTACACAGTATATGTAGTGTTACCTTCATCATTGTTTTCTTCAAAGTAAACGATAGCCTTGTATGAAGACACATCTTTGGGAAAAATGATTAAGACAATATAGATAATAGGTAATACAATTGGTGAACACTACAGTGTATATATTTTGATTTTCTGTACAAAAAATCATACCGGAATCGCTGCATCCATCACTAAAATTTTTATTGCAGGATACGTATTCTGTATGTGAAGCTCCTCTATATAGCAAACACTTGGTTGGAACAGGGATTTCTGAATAGAATTAAGAGTTATATTTTTATAACATGTATAATTATGAATACAAGCATATGTGAAAAGAGATAATTTAACAAAACACGTATGTCATATCTACCTTCCACATAGCTATACCAGCTGTCTCCAATGATATACTTTTGTCCTGGTATAAGTTTAGTTTTCAGTTCCTCAAAGGACGGTCGACTCTTATTCAGCTGTAGACGACTGATGCAAAACTGGCAATTTTTGTGTTGAGTATCACAATCTTGTCGCAAAATAAATTGGAAACTTCATTATTCCATTCAAAAACTCTGTTTATTATTTAAAATAATACTTGGTGTTTAAAAGTTTTAGTTCATCTACCTGAACAAGTTTCATTTTCTTCTATCCTCTGAATTTGCAAAGTTATGACACCTTCAAGACATAAAAGGTATAAAAAAATCATAATTATGATATTTAGAACAGATTTTATTCAAAATGCACCTTTTATTGACTTGATTTTTTCGCTTAAAAAGATTGAACAGATTACTAAAACGCATCCCGAGAGACACTTGTAAAGAAACTTATCTGATAGATCTGTCAATCATTTTAAGAAGAATGTCACATGTATCTAGAGTATTGAGGATTTTAGTATATTTTTAGAATCTACAAAAAAGTTTAATAAATTAAACAAAAAAAAATGCGTGTCGATTTGCTTCATTTAGCACTATGGAGCAATTGATATGACATTTTACATTGTAATTATGTTTAGCACATAAATGAATTTTTCAGTTTTTGCATTAGTAATTTTTATACAAATGAATAATTGGAGCAAACAGTCTCTTTTCATCTTGAATAGTCCTTTAAAATATTGACAACGAAAGTAGTTTAAAATTACTTCATTGTATAGTAAAGTAATATGATGAGATTTAATATATAATTTATGACCAGCATAGTTCATTCCTTTAAGCAAAAGTACTCATTTAGCATGCTGCATGTAAAAATAAGAATTCAAACTTCACAATACTGAAAACTTCAAAAGAGAAAAAAAAGAGATCTTTCTCTTCTAAAAGAAACATTCCACCACAGAATACAGTTCCTCTCTAATTGTTTTCGGTATGGAATTCAATCATGGGGTTTTAATTGAATATTTCAATTAGCATTCTAAAATCCACATTTATTGTGAGAACTAAAAGATTATGAAATTTCTTTTGAATAGATGTAAAGACAAAAATTTGCTCAAAAACTGAGGGGCAAACATCTTTCAAAATTAAGGCTTAGCGATATGCAAGGGTCATAGAGACCACATCTTTTCATAAACATTGGCAGAAAAACACAAGTTAATTCAGCATTGAAATGTTTTACAGAAGGGAGGGGAAACTATTTTACTTCGAGATTGATTTGTTGTTCTTAAGAAAAAAATCTAATATGGCTTTAACTTTTCAATAGTCAACTTCCCCTACGTATGTAGCAATACATTTTCAGCACCTACATACGGGGTTTATATCTCTGAGTTAATTCTAAACACATGAGCTCTACGTATGAACAATTTCTAAAACGGGACAAGTCATTGACAAACAAGATAATAAAACAAGAATTTAAGCTGTCTCGTTTAAAGTCATCATTTCATGTGTTCATATGAGCGATGTGGTCTCTATGACCCTTGTATATCGCTAAGCCTTTTAAAAGATGTTTGTACATTGACCTTAATATAGGGAGAGGGCTAAAATAGCCCTGATTAACCAAAATGAGTGAAATTGGCGCAGTGGATCTGGAGAAGAAGTCACATGTGTGGACCGTATTCAGATGGTCATTCGGAAAGAAAGACATATAGTTAGACAGATATTCTCAGGATAAAACATCAAAGTACAACTTATTTGCAAATTAACTCCCAAAATTGAAACTGAAAGTTTCTCATAATTAGTTAAAATAATATCACTTTTTATAACTAGAATTTTAAATTTCTTGCTTAACATACTGTATAAATGTTACTTTAAAAACTAAAAAGAAATAGTTCTATTGTATATCAATTGTTAATTTTTTCAAATTGTCAATTTGCAAGTAGAAGCTTATGTTACCCGAAGAAATCACATATTTAGCTTTCCCCATCCAAGTGTTGTTCTTTGAAATAAAGTCTTCCTCAGTCAAAGGTCTTTGATAAAAAGTATCACACACTCTCAGCGACCTTTTCCATGTTGTATCGTGTGACAAAAATGTCCCCCTAGCAACAACTAAAAAGATTAATTTGAAAGAATCTGGGTGGATTAGGCGAGTCATATGCCTACGCACGGGCAGGTAAAATATCGATTAAAAAAATTCTTGCAAATTCCACTTTTTGTTAAGTTTGGGAGTTATTTATAACCATATACATACAGTAAAGATAAAACCAGATTCAAATTACTTACAAAGTGATTGTAATTCACCAAACAAAATGGTAACACGCTTTAGTAACCATAAAAATGACAGAAATTGAATGTTAAAAATGTGTTTTTTATATAGAGTGGGTCTTCGTACCATTTTTTTGTAAACAAATATTGAAAGGGTATGGATGGATGTATCTCTCGCCATTTTCAAAAAATGGTACAAAGACCCACTCTATATAAAAAAGTTAGTTTTCCTACTTAAATTTCGCATCATATTCTCAAAAACCCCAAGTCCAATCGAGCGTTTGCTATACATATAGAACTATACTGAAAGGAAAAAGAAACGCATAATAGCATAATAGCGAAATATATTTGACTATAAGGCCGAAAATTATGAAAATTGGTTAGATGTGTATTTTGATTACTGTGCACTAAAATTATTGGTCAAAATTACTCAACCTTGAAATGTATGGCGTCACGTAGGGGAAATGATAAAAAGCCAAAAACACGTGCATGTTGATGATTACAATTTTATGATCACATTTTGTGGTCATAAACGATGCATTGGAGTTATAGACATCGTTTTCCGCATTTGAAATCAGTATAAATTTCGTGAAATCATGGTATGGCTGACGGAAGTTACAATGGTTCCAGTAATTTAATTGCGTAAGTGAATGAAAAGGCAACAAGATGTTGCTGTGCAGTTTGTTTTAAACTTTTCAACAAGAACGGGTTTTTCAGTTGTCAGAGAGTAAATAAAAAGGTTTCCAACCAACCATGGCCGTGACGTTGACACGTAACAACGTCACATCAAGACGGGGCTTTTCATCATGTCACCTCGGTTGTTGTCAAGGTATTATCACTGAAACCGATATTAATACAGCAATCTATCATACCAATATTTTCACCCTAAAATTGACAGAAATTCTCTGCTCTAATTTGGTCCGCGAGCTTGGCAACTTTTACGTCGATTTTACTCTCACGCGCGCACGTACACGTCGTGTGCGTTATGTTTTTAGCATGTTCACACTGGGAAAATGTAGCCAGTGTTTGTCGAGACTTTCTCACGAACATTCACGTGTACCAAACCAGCTGGATTCTGTAAATTCTTTCCTAAAATGAAAATTTGTGGCACTCATTTGGCGGGGGGATTTGTTGGCTTTGGAATAATACAGCTTCCATCAACCATTAAGACTATTGTCGGAAGAGTTGAATAATAATCAAATGAGAAAGATAAATGCTCTGGTGAACTCAATGCACAGGAAAATCAAGGCTGTTACCAATGTGCAAGGGAGATTATGAGAATTTTTATTCTAATTTTGGGGGGTATCGACATATCAATTTCAATAACTCAGGAATTATCAGTCAAAGTCATACAAGATTTTGGTAACTTGTAGATTTAAGATGAATTAAAATGTTTGATAACAATACTGGAAAACATTTTCGAATTAATAGTTTTAATTTAATTTAAAATTAAAATATGCGTTTCTTTTTCCTTTCAGTATATTTGCTATTTAAAGGGCTATGTATGTGCGACTTCGTGGCTCAGTAGTCATAGCGGCGGTGTTGAAACACCCAGTTATTAGTCGCGAGTGTTCGAATCACGAGGTTTTTAAAGTTCAGGTTGAAATTTAGATAAATTTATTTTTTCACTAAAACAGAATGAAAAGATAAGATGATGAATTTGTTTACGGTCAATTAACATATTTCCTTTAATAAACAAGTTTTCAAGCTACATGTGAATATAACATTTTGAATGCATTCAGTTCAAGACTACATTACACGATTGAAATGTAAACAGTCAGGGGTAGACCAGCGCGATATGGCTGTTCTGTATGCAAAAAACAGTTAAAAGGAAATTAAGGTAAAGCGTACTATATCTCCTAAACCCTGAAAACATATTTGAAATAACAACTAAGACGCAATATGAAAAGCATCAAGATTAAAAATACTGTAACGATAACCGCAAGGTTTAAAAAATAGATATTGTCATTTGGACAGCGCTGTACAAAGTTTAAATGTTTCAGTAAATCGTACAACTGTGAAATTTCCGAAATGCTTACAGAGCGACAAAATCAGTGTGGGCATATGACTCGCCTTATCCCCCCAGATTCTTTAGCATAATATATATGTGTTTTATATTATGTTTGTTTTAATTTACAATTAAAGGTACTTAAACACAGATTTGATGTTAATATTTTCTCAAATTTTCTGCATAAATTTAAGACTTATTTGTTGCGAAAGCATTTTATACAAAACTAAAATAAAAATTATATTTTTTCTAAAAGTTATGAAAACTTTTATTTTATAGACGAGTTTCATTGACACAACCTTACACTTTCATCAATTTTTACCCTATCCTTCATATTTAAGAAACGTGGCAATTTTGGTGTTTATGTATTGGATATATGCCGAATACAATTCTGTATTAAAAAATATCAGACAGTTTGAGGCCCGTTTCGGCCGAAAACTGTCTGATATTTTTTAATACAGAATTGTATTCGGCATATATCGTACTTAAAACATTGCTTTTGAGTTACTTGGATCACTCAGATATTAGAACAAAAGAAAAAAGACCACTGAAGCAATTCTTTTAAGAATGCAGGCTTAAATAAAAAGTACTCAGTATTTAGGGATTTGGATATACTGAAGAAGGTATCTGAAAGAATATGAAAATGAGAGGGGGACAAAAATTATAGTCATTAAAACATACACGGAGATTAAATCAGTGTAACGAATTATCATACAGACAATCTAGTGAATGATGAATTTGGAATGGAATGAAAAATTGTCGATATGAAGAATATCCGCAGAAAATTAAACAGATGCTTGTCCATTTCATATTTTTTTTATGTTTTAAAGTGTCCACATATACCTTTCTTTTTGATATTCCATTACAGAAAAACAAACATAATCAATAATCACATAATCCAGCAGTTTTGAAATTTCAAATTTCTTTCAAAATTTGTTGCAAATCTGTCAAATTAAGTATTAATTATCATATGCTAGGCCTAGTTACCTTGATTTTGCATCTAGACATTTTACTTTTAAATGAAAAATTAAAATCAAATTGTTTGAATGCAATTCATGGTGTCTAAACTTTGTGTTTTATTATGAATTAATATTTGGGCCTTTGAAAGTTTATACGATATATCTTGGTGAGCTTGAGATAAAAGATACCAGAGAGTCCGACACTTCTGTTTCATACTTAGATATTTTATTTGAAAAAGACACTAATTGTAATATAACAATCAAGCTATATGATAAACGTAAACACTCACTATTCTATCGTCAACTTCCCTTACTTATGCAGCAATATACCTTCATCACCTGCATACGGAGTATATATATCTCAGTTAATTCGATACGCATGGTCTACGTATATATAATTTCTAAAATGAGGTAAATTATTGATAAACAAGTTGATGAAACAAGAATATCAACAGTCTCGTTTAAAGTTATCATTTTATATAAACAGGGCACGAGTTCTGTTACGTTAATATTTACTTTTCACCGGATGTGTTAAATTATTAAACTCTGCACACACTACAATCGCATCATCTCGAGTCTTTCTGCCAGAGGTCGGAAATACGGCCTCAAATGTATTCACTTCACCGGATGTTAAAAATTTACATATTTCTCGTTTATTCAAATATAGGATAGGTAGATGCCCCTTCTATGGTATATTTAAGGTAATATAATTTATACATTGAATAAAGTTAAACTCCACATTTCACAGATAAAAGGTCACATGCATTTATTTCAAAGATCTTGAAAGTGTGGTTGTCAAGGCGTCTACGTAATACATTCGAGGTCGTTTATCCGCTAGTCGGAAAGGCCGGAGAAGTTGCGATTGCACACACTACTGAGCACGGAATGTCAAAATTGATGTGTTGGTTTTGCTTTCGCACATTTCTACTCTGAATTTTCTGATTGTTAATTTTGATATTTTTCATCAATACACAACGAAATTGATATTTTTTTTTTAGAATGAAGAATGTGTCAGTTAAACGCCTAGAAATTAAAAGTTTCAATAACTTCCTGAAAAAAATAAGATTTTTTAAATTATATTTTCGTATTAAATGCTATACAAATATATAAGTTTTTAAATGATATAGAAATTTTTAGAAAATAATATTATCCAATCTGTGTCTATGCACCTTTAAAACCAAATTTAATCAATAATTTAGTAAGGTCGGAGCAAATCGGCAGTTGTAATCGGCGTTATTTTGTTTTTCTAACTTTGAGCTTGAAACACTTCCTTTTCTTCAAGTCTCATTTTTATATAATTAATAAATATTATACATTTATTATTATTATTATTATTATTATTATCATTATTATAATATTTATTATTATACATTTATTTGTACTATAAGTTCAAAAAAAAAAAAAAAAAAAAAAACAAAGGAACATAAATAATGTGGACAGATTTGACAACTTATTTCATTTACATATTTATACTATATAGGAAAGATTGTTGTTGAGTTTTGGTAGATGCTTCAAATTCAAATATGATTTTAGCTTAAGAATGCTAGATCAAAAGGAAAATGTAGAGCGTATTATATCATTTTCGGAGTAGGAACACTTCTCATTCTACATGAAGAATATCTTTGCTCTCGAAAATATTAAAGTCAAGTATTGAGAGCGCCAATTATCAATTTCAAAAGTCTATTAAGGTCAAGATCTAGTAAATGAAAGTTGCCTACAGATTTATCAAACTTTAGAAATAAATTCCTTTATTGATGCTTTACAACTTTAGCTTGGTCAAATAAGGTGTTTCGGGGCATAATGTGTAGATAAACAAGATGAAAAACTGTATTTTAAACTGTCATTTTCAATGAAAAATTAAGAAAACCAGCCATGAATATGGGAGTTTTTTTCGTATTCGGCAAAGGAAATGTATCCAGATTGCCTACAGTCTCTCAAAAAAAGATAATTATTAAGTTCATGACCTCTTCGTTAAATCAATATCAAGTGTAATATAGGTATCCGTCTGACCTTTCATATGATTTCAAATTGAATGACACGAAAATACCCTATGTTCTACATAATTCTGCTAAAGCCGTAAAGTACAGGAAAAAGAAAGTTGAAATTGATTGTGACGTCATAATGGATCTAGCAACAAAAAATTAGTCTAAAGTTATTTACTAGATCTTGACCTTAAAACAAAGGAAATTATGAGAAAAGCAAACATGGAGCTTATAAAACATGCTGAGAGGAGAGCATTTTGCTTCTTCTGTGGATACTTTAAAACTACTGCTTTAGGTTTACAATATCATCAACAGGAATATTTTGTTAGCCTCTGAAAGGGACATGGATAAAATTTCAACTGATTTTTTTTTTAAGAATCATTAATCAAAATGTTTATAATTCATAATTAGGGTAAAGTATATGCCTGGCAATAATTTGAACATCAATGTTGATTAACAAAGGAAATACAGAATTTTAAATTCTTCATAATGTAAACATGGCTCGTGCCTTTTTTGTTAACATTTAAAAAAATTAATTTATAATAACAAAACTGTTTCATTCTATTTAGAATTACCTATTTTATTGCAAACATCTACTTGAAACAAACATTTTATATCTAACCTATGTTTTATGAAAACCAAAATTTGGCACGGGTCTTGTTAACATTACCAAGATCTGGAGTTCTAAAACTGTCCTGTACGTATCTCAGCAACTGAAATTCAAATATTTGATATCAATTAACAATACCTTATTTTCGTACATAAAAACGGAAAAATAGATTTGAACACTTTTAGCTGACACTGTGTCTGTATCCCTTTATTTTTTTAAAATTGTTTTTAATACAATACAAACGTCTCAGCTGAAACGTTATCGAGAGGAAAGAGGGCTATTACGCAGTAAATGTAGAATTGCCATTTCTTCTTTAAAGGACTCAGCAAAATATCTTTGGAAAGTCATAAGTGAATGAGCTGGTCCTTTGTACCAAAATGTATTGATCAGAACCCATAAATGACCATTAACTGATTAAAATATGTTTTTTTCCGAAAATTTGTTTTTGTTATCTTGATCAGAACTTCCCAGAAGCATCCATGACATGGAGCACCTATAGGTAAGACCTTTTTGGTAATGTTTAAACCTGTTTCAGCTTTGATGCTAGTCAAGAAACTACTATTGCCCACAACCATTTACACCATCTCTTCAACTTAATGGACGACGGACGCTTCCAAAATACTTTATGTGACCCGGAGGAAAACCGTGATGAAAAAGCAAACAAAAACAATTCAGTAAAAACCTTTGCCCCCCCCCCCCCCTCCCCCCCCCCCCCCCCAAAAAAAAACTTCATTATTTTTTTTTACTAAATTTAACATTGGAAAAATTATTCAGTTTTAATTTTTTGTAAAAAAAAAAATGTAATGTCGTTAAAAATGAGTGTTTTATCGATGTATTATACAGAAAATATCACCATTAAAAAGAAATGTAAATATTTAACGAAAAACAATTATAACAGGTTTGTTTAAAGTGAGATTAATCCAAGACTGTCTAGGTAAAACCACGAGGGTTGATCCAAAAGAAAAGTCACATTGTCCATATCTTTTATATTTCGAGTCATATTATCAAATTCAATATACCAAAAGATGCACAAATATTAATCTAATTAACATTGAAATTTTAATTCAATAATGTTTATTTGAATTTACTATAGATGTTTGAAACATAGAGCATAGGGGGTGTCGCCGCGTCACAACGGAACGTCACGTTTTAAAGTGTTTTTTTTTTATGAAAAAGAAAAACACATTAGAAAGATTCTAAAAATGTCATTTTCTGGTCTTTAATTGAAAATCAAATGATGGCGTTGGCATTTGTGATCCTGAAATTGTTGTTTTACTCTGTTGAATTGAACTTATTCAAGGATTGTCGAAATGGGTGAAAAAGGGTTGACGTCTTGTAATGCATTTTTGCTTCAAAATATGGAAATCATCACAATTGACAGTTACATTAATTAATTAGCTTTACAGAATAAAGGAAGTAAATAAGAAACATTTTAATAGATGTATTCAGCAATTTTGGGCAGGTGATTGGTCAATGAATGATCAGCAGAGGACAAGGAGACCGTAAAGGAGATCAGAGGAAAACGTTCAATGGTGTCTGACGTTGTCAAAAAGACAGACGTATAGAGTGACATGTGAATTTTTAAGTTTGTCTTATACTACTGTTCAAAAAATTTTGACAGAGGGTTTGATTATGAATAGAGTGAGGTTATAATGGTACCAAGAATTCTTAAAGAAAGTGGAATTGCTGAAATTGTTTGCGAATCACAAATATTTTTGTAATGTATTCATCATATTCCTTTTAATTTTTCAGGTCTGATTTGAAATTAAAAAAGGTTCCATCGTGTATAATTTTGCTGCTTTACGTCAATTTATAGCAGTTTTATCAAAGTTGTGACATTACATTTGGATCAACCCTTGTAAATCAATACTATATATATATATATATATATATATATATATTTTAAAAAAGGTAAAAAAGAAAACACAAAAATCCTCAGTTAAGCTTTAGCGCTTTCATTTTTCAATCTTCAGTTCGCATATTTACAAAAGTTCTTAGACGTAGACGTAAACGTAGAAGTTACGACTGACGTAAGATTGAACATACGAATTCGTATTTTGGTATTTACAAAGCCGTTCGTAGACGTTGACGTAAGTTACGATTTCTTAAATGTACGACTGTATGTACGCATGCGCTTTCGATAGTTTCACTTTACAGTGCGCCAATAATTATTTCGGTCGTCTGCGAAAAGAGAAGAAGAATGGATGAGGGAAAGAAGCCTAGGAAAGCAAATTTTACGGATTTGGAGGTGGAGGTGTTGGTGGACGCTGTGTCCACCAACTACAAAGTGTTGTACGGGAAGTTTTCCCCTTCTTTGACAAACAGTATGAAGACGGCGGCATGGGAATCCGTTACAGAGAAGTATCAAATGCAATTTTTCACTCATGATAATTCGTTTAAAATTAAATTGAAGTAAACAAAGAATCTGTAAATTGAAAATTAGCTGGTAAGTTTATTATTAAGCAACCATCAGCACGGGTGTGAAAGCTGATGTGGGATTTTATCATAATATTGCAAGGACCTAAATGTCGTTAATTTATTAGCTGATTTTTGTCATACAGTGCTTTAAGCAGTTCCGGATTTTAAGCAGTTCCGAATAATTTCAATTAAATAATTAAAATTATGCAAACATAAATGTTTCTGTTTCTAATGATTCTTTACATAAATGAAGCTTTATGTATTGTCCATACTCTGGATGACATAGCCAGATCAAGAACTCCATCTTTCTTACCGTGTCCAGGCTTTTTGTTTACAACCGCAAGCGCTTAAGTGACGTTGACCGACATTAAACACGTGCTATCTTGAAAGTAAAGACGTGCTCTGAAACTGTGGTAAGGTATGTTTTTCATTTAAGATATTTGAATGAAACATTGATGTATCTTCTATCTCATGAAATTTCGGTTTCGTTAAAATACGACGTAAATCCAAAATAAAGAGCAATATTCACAACATCCCATTTTAAGCAGTTCCGAATTAACCATATACGGGGTTGTCTCAAAAGAGCTGGTATAACAAACAAGAGAAAATAACGTAAACAAAAAGTCAGAAACATGAAATCATTTTACATTCAGAATTTTATGATAAATTATGTTGATTTGAAAAGGCTGAGGAAGTATTATTAATTTCAAAGTCATGGCTTTAAGTATCTTTCTCCCTCCCCCATCTAGCTTCTCTCTCTCTCTCTCTCTCTCACACACACACACATGCTGTTTACAGAAGATACTACAAATTCAAAGATCCTTAGAAGAAAAAACATGTAAACAAATTAATAAAATTGAATGGAGAAACTGTAAAGAATGAATAATCTCATTAAATATTATACAATGTAGAGTGTATTTATTTTATTTTTTTTCAGCGTTTGCTATATATCTAATATATCACTGAGTCCAAAGAAACTAAAAGTAGTCATGGGAAGAAAGAAGAAGAAAATGTCCGAAATCATGAGAAAGCAAGAACTTTAATTATGAAACCACCAATGACCCCAAAAGAGGGTTGCCGCTAAAATATGTAGCAGGCCTTCTGATAGGTCATGTGTCGAAAGGTTTATCAAATTCTTTTTAGACAATTCTGGATTAAACTGGAGAATTTTTTGCAGAGGTTAATAATGTATATTACACATAACATGTATAGTGTTTGTCTTGTCCGTCATCCGTCCTTCTGTCTGTCAATCTGTGACACTTTGTGTTAAGCTCAGTTTCAAAGAAATTTTCAAGATATTTTTATCAAACTTCATTTGCTGACACATATAGTGAGAGGTATTCAACTGCGTAAAGATTTGTTTTTACCTTGACCTCACTTTTCTCAAATTTGCAGCTTGCTAACTTTCAAACCAAAAAAAACTATTCAAGATATTTTTGTAACTTATACATAATTTAATTCAAATGGTAAGAATTTATCGAATTAAGAATTGTGCAATTTTTTTTTAACTGACTTTCCCTATGGCCTTCAACTTTCTCATCTATTGTGTATAAAACTGAGTTATTTTGAAAGTACATGTACTCAAGTTTAACCTCTTCTTCAAACTTCACACTCTATCTAAAGCAAAGTTTCATGTGCATTAAATTCAAATACAGTTAAGTGAACTGGTGAATTATGTGTTGGGCATTTATGTCCTATGGACATATTTCTAGTTTTTTGTATGAAATGAAGAACAATTCTTTGATTAATTATATTTTTTATTTTGATGATTTTTTTCTAGTCTTTTTCAATGCAATTTTCTGATTTTTATTGTACCAAAATATGTTTTTTTTATTATTATTTTTTTTTTTAAATATTTGATAGTTTATTTTATCGTTAATAAAGTTGTTGAAACATGATCTTTTCTTCTTTATATATGATATAATTGATATTCCATTTTCGAGCTCAGGTCTTAAAAAAAGTGAAAAAAAATTATTGTCCCGTTAAAAATGAATTTTGAGACGACCTCTGTTGTTACAACTATAAATAACAACGATAGGTGGCGAAAACCGGAACTACTTGAAATCGTCTAAACTGCTTGAACCCCAGCATATTTTAATTGGAAAACTTCGACTATAAAGTATAACGTTTTAAACAAAATATTAATATGGCTTGAAAGAGTAAATAAAGGACTATTTATTTCAATGTAGAAATCAAACACAAGTCCTGCATAAATTATTTACCGAGTGTTTTTCCCGTTACGATCCGGAACTGCTTAAATCACTGTACTTCTTTCTTTGTCAATCAAAGTACTTTTTTAGCTTATATTAATTATTGAAAGGCACATGTATGTATATAAATATAGAGTGAATGCAGTAAGTCTGCAGTGCAGAAGGGAAGTTGGCGATATTAAAAAAAAGTGGCAGGACCTACAGTCAGTAGTGAAAAAAAAGGAATCTCAGAGGAGGAAGAGCATAAGGCAGACAGGAGGAGGGCCCATGGAGCTTGGGGCATTCAAACCATGGGAGGAGAAAGTTTGTTTATAATATTATATTTTCAGGTTTACATTGTTGAAGGGCATGTCAAGATTTATGGATTTTGTTGTTGTTTAACATTATTGTTTTACATATTGTCCATTTGAAAGGTAAGTACATGGTTTAATGGACACTTGCTAATACAGACCCATGTTTTCTCTTTGGCTTTTTATTAATTGCTAGAAATGTAGAATATATGATGTTGATAAACCTTAAATCCTGGCTGTCACAATTGGTCTCTGCTGACTTAAATAGATATGTATTAAATGTGTAGTTGATGCCTTTATATCTAAGACAAAGCTGTAGTGTTTCAAAATATATTGTCGGTGAAGGATATGGTAAATGTTTGAAAGTTAAAATTAGTTTCTCAGTGTTTTTGTGTGTATTAAGTTATATATCTTTGGTGTGTATGTGACTGACTGTCTTAGCTAGCTAGCTCATGTATAGGAGATAATTTATTCTTGGTCAACAGTAAGTATGATCTAACA